TTGGCCCATATCCCTCTAAACCCTTCCTATTCATGTACCCATCCATATGCCTTTTAAATGCTGTAATTGTACCAGCCTCCACCACTTCCTCTGGCAGCTCATTCCATACACGCACCACCCTCTGCGTGAAAAGGTTGCCCCTTATGTCCCTTTCATATCTTTCCCCTCTCACCTTAAACGTATGCCCCTCTACTTTTGGACTCCCCCCACCCTAGGGAAAAAGACCTTTGCTATTCACCCTATCCATGCCCCTCATGATTTTATAAACCTCTATAAGGTCACCCCTCAGCCTCCGACACTCCAGGGAAAATAGCCCCAGCCTCTCCCTGTAGCTCAAACCCTCCAACCCTGGCAACATCCTCGTAAATCTTTTCTGAACCCTTTCAAGTTTCACAACAACCTTCCTGAAGCAGGGAGATCAGAATTGAACGCAGTGTTGCAAAGGTGGCCTAACCAATGTCTAGTACAGCCTCAACATGACCTCCCAACTCCTATACTCAATGCACTGATCAAATCCTTCCCGCTGGATGGGCTGCTCCCATCAGGACTGGGGATGGCTGGTGGGGGTGGAGAAAAAGGAAGGAAGGATGCCCAGGATCACTGTTCCCCCTCCTCACACCCCCACCTCCCCCCACCCCTGGCCAGGATCTCCAAGTCAACAATCTGATTGAACTTCTGCCCTCACCTCCCTTTCGGCCATTGCTCCTCCCGAATTCCGCGTGAAAATTCCTATCCCCTTCACAAACCCTTGATCCCTCCCTATCCCAGCGACCACCTCTGCAACCTTCTTCCATTCCGGCTCTCCCTTGCCTCCCAACTCCCATCCCTCCGCCGCGAGAACGAAAGATTGGGAAGGGAGGGAATTCCAAATTCCCAGAGATCGCAAACTGTGGGCCAGCTGGAGGGAAGGGTGCCAATAGTGGAGGGACGGGTGGGACACAGGGGATCTCGGAGGGTGGCCAACACAGATCCCACTCACAGAGATTTGGAACGAGGGGCAGTGGGGAAATTTGAACACAGGGACGAGAATTACCAAACTGACCAGGAGACAGCGAAGAAGGGTGGGCAGAGTTTGATGCCAAGTGTGGGTCAGAAGGGGCGCGGAGTCTGGGATGAGCTGAAGGGCCTGGCAGTGGGTGGTTCGGAGTTGGACCCTGGAACGTGTCGGGGTCTGGAGGTACTGGAAGGTCTGTGCGAGCGTTTCCACAGCTGAAGAGTTGAGAGGGAAGATGAAGAGGGTGGGAACTAGTGGGCCGTGGTTAATTGCAGAAAGCGGTCCTCATGCCAACTATGTGTGTGTGTGTGTTGTGCCCCCTACAGGTCTGGTTCCAGAACCGCAGGGCTCGCTACAGCAGGCAATCGGCAGCAGGCCGCCAACGAGGGAGACCGTCTGGGAGCGCCCCCTTCGAGGGTCAAATGCCAACGGGCACCTTGCAGTATGCCGATCCGCCCACCCCGGGGCCCGCCCAGGTGCCCTGCTCCGCCAACTGCCCGAGGCGCCCCCTGGCGGACGTGGTGCACGGGCCCAACGTCCACCTGGCCGGCGGCTGTGCGCCGCTCGTCGGTGCCCATTGCCAGTCGGTGCTGCGGGGCCCGAAGGTCGAGTGCACTGCCTCCCTTGCGGCCGGGCACAAGGCGATGGGCGAGGCAGTGGCCGCTGCCTGTAGCCAATGGTACCCAGCGGTGGGTGGCGCGAGTGGAAATCTGCCCGCGCGCTTTCCGGTAGACGAGATCGAAGTGGATTTCACTGTGGCGGATTTCAACATGGACTTGGGTAATCAATACCTGCTGGATCTTTCACAGGCTTTGTAAAACTGTCCGAGGAATGACAGAAACACGCCGCCCACCAGGGGCGCTGCATCATGGGAAAACATGGTGAAGAACATTTGTTCATTTTTACTCGCGGGGACGAGAATGCTATTTCCCCCTCTGTCCTCTGGATGTGTGGTTTCGCGGGATCAGACTTTGCTATTGCCCGGTGGTAAAAGACGGATCCCTCACCACCAGGTGTATTCCAGAGAGGAAAGGGGCTTGTATCATACAGTGCAGAGGGACCTTTACTCTGTATCCAACCCCGTGCTGTCCCTGTCCTGGGAGTGACTGATGGGGGACAGTGTAGAGGGAGCTTTATTCTGTATCTAACCCCGTGCTGTCCCTGCCCAGGGGAGTGTGTGATGGGGGGACAGGGTTACTAAATACAGCGACATTATTTGGGAGGGTGGGCTGTAAGTCCTATACTTACAAGAGTGAGAGAGTCACGTGCCACGATGAAGGGGAGGGGGTGTTTAGCAAGGGTGGGGTTGCATGGGATGGTGAGGGCGGTGGAGGGGGGGGTGAGTTGGCAAATGTGTTATAAAAGAAGGGGGTCAGAATAGACACCCTGTGTGGGAGAGGGAACTGAATACTGATTTCAGGGAACCTGAGCTGCCATTTTATACTTAAAATGGCCGCCCAGCTGTTTGCTGGTGCTCCTTGAGCCCTTGCCAGGGCGCGGGCCGCTATTTGTATTTATTTAATATTTAATGACGATTCATTTCTTTAAAAAAAAAATAGTCTTGGCGACTTCGTTCATCACAGGCTGGGAGCTCTTCTCAGAGACCCATTGACCCTTGACCTCCGCCCCCACTGAACAAGTGGGGGTGCTCCCTCAGGCTGGACCCGAGCAGGTGGGAATGGAGTAAAACCATGACTGACTGCCTGAGGTGGGGTGGGGGGGAGCGGTGTGGTGGAGGAGGGCAGGATTAGCCTCTGCAGGGCTTTCTGACGTGCAATGAGAAATCGCAGCTAACCCTGTGCCTTGGTATCTTCGTGCCCCCACCCCCCACCCCACCAATTCCTCTAGGTTTTGCGTTTTAATTCAAGGCATGGGGGGAATGTGCCCTACCGTGCCGAACCCCTCGGCTTTAACGGAGGTGGTCTCTCAGAATCTTAAAGCAAGCATCTCCAAGGATCCTGGGGTGGTTTGTTGGGACGGTGTGTGTGGGTGTGGGGGTGTAGGGAGCATTGGGAATGGGCAAAGGTACTGAGGAGGTGGGAGATCGCCTCAAGGTCTTTGGGGATGGTGAATTGAGATTACAAATGACCAACATTCTATGCTTAGGGACTGCTGTCAACAAGACCCCTGTCTGTTGTCAAGCCACTTGCAAGATTCCAGCAGTGATGCCTGCCACAGTCAAATAGCTCACATGCGGGCCGACATCACTGACTCAGGGAGGAGCTCAACCCTGTTTTGGCGGAGTGAGATGTGGGGGAATACAATCAATGACATAGGTTTTGCAGGAATGATATGAAAAGTAATTTATGATTTTCGTTGAAAATTAATTAGTCTGTTCATCTCTAGTTGTGATTAACGTGCTTTTTTTAAAAAACATATTAGAAGACACAATCCTTTCTGCAATCATTAAAACTAACTCGACTAGCCTTCGATCAAAGTCTGGTCAAGCAAGATTCGAATCATAGCAGAGGATGAAGAGTAGGTGATGGGGCAAAAAAGTTGAGACACGCTTCACGGAGACAAACAGGAGACAGTGAGAGACAGAGAGACGCAGATACAGAGGGAGAGAAAGATAGAAAGAGAGACACACACACGCACAGAGAGAGAATGAGAGACACCGTCAGAGAGAAAGAGACAGAGAGATACAGAGAGAGAGAGAAAGATGGGGAGGGCGAGAGAAAGAGACACACTCAGACTCAGAGAGATGGAGTGAGAGACAGAGACACACACAATTCACAAAGAGAGAGAGATACACACAAGCACAGAGAGAGAATGAGACACAGATAGACAAAGAGAGAGAGACAGATAGAGAGACACACAGAGGAAGAGATATACAGAAAAAAAATAGATACAGAGAAAGAGATACACACAGGACAGGGAGAGGCAGAGAGACACTCACAGGCACAGAGACAAGAATGAGAGAGGCAGACAGAAAGAGCCGGATACATACAGACACGGAGATACATACACACAAAGAGACAGAGAGAGAAAGGGAGAGATGCACACAGACACACAGAGAGACACACATACACAAATATATAATTAGAGACAGAGAGAGACAGACAAAAGGGGGCAATAGAGGCAGAGGGGATAGAGGTTCAGAGAGATACAGAGAGACAGACAGGAACAGTAAGTGATTGTGAAACTAACAGAAAACAAAGAGAAAGACGGATATTTCAATCGAAGTCGGTCTCCCTTTGTGCTTTGCTTCATGTGTTATGTTCCGTTGGCAATCTCACTCCCAGATGGGAGCACAGGACTGACGGTGGGATAGTTGGAAGTTCAGGGATTATTGGAAGTATTTTGATTGGATCTGCCTGTGTTTGTCTGAGAGCTGTTATAGTGCACACTGATTTTATTGTCCAGGGTTAATGTCTGGTTGATTAAAACAATGTGGATGAAAATTGCAGCCTGTGTGGTTTCTGGTTCATATGTTTCTCTTCAATGTTTCTGATCACGGAGAAGCGCTGTTCAGGGTGAGATGAGGCTGTAGAGTTTCACACATGGCAAACCCCAAGCATCCCTTTGTCACAATGGTTGGAAGGTTATTCAGCCATGGGGTGCATCACAAAAGGCCAGACTTGGCCCTCACACCTTATTTGAAGGTGATCACTGTTGGCAGTCAGCCCAAGGTTACTGAGGTGCGTTACAGCAAATAGCCCTCCCTTGCACTCTCACTCATCTCTGACACACTGCACCTCTGACAGAGCGGCGCTCCCTCAGCACATCCTCCAACAGTGCTGTAGGTGGCGCTGAACACTCCATATCCCACTGTAAAAGGTGTACATTAACCCTCCAGAGCTTTAGGTGGCGCTGATTTCTCACTCTTCCGCACGGTAGCGGGTGTACGTTAACCCTCCACTGCTGTAGGTGGCGCTGACCACTCCGGATCCCACAGTAGAAGGTGAACCTTAACCCTCCTGAGCGCCAGGTGGCGCAGGGACCAGTCGCCGGCCACGCCCCCTGGCTGCCCAGCTGCGCCTGCGCACTGACTGAGCAGCAGAGGAAGACTGAGCAATGGCGACGGTCGGAGGTGGCTGTTGCTGTTGGACCCAGTGAGTGACACCCGTGGATGAGAGGGCCCCCGGGGATGCTGGTGGCGGCCCGGGGCCGCTTGCTAAGATGTCATGGTTTTTCCCCTGGTCGAGCTCGATCAAGAAGCGGGCCTGCCGTTACCTGCTGCAGCACTACCTGGGCCACTTGTTGGAGGAGAGGCTGACTCTGGAGCAACTGAGCCTGGACCTATACAACGGCAGCGGGCGCCTCAGAGAGGTCCAGCTCGACGTCTGGGTAAGAGGGAGGCTGGGCAACAGAGCAGATCGAAAGTCCATCAGTTCCCACTGGCCATGAGTAGAGTAGTCCATCAGATCACATCAATGACCAGTTCATATTGATCATCAATAGAGCACACCTTCACACAACATCAACAATCCATCAGTTCCCACTTACCATCAATAGACCAGTCCATCAGAAACACATCAATTACCAGTTCATATTGATCATCAATAGAGCAGATCTTTACACAACATCAATAATCCATCAGTTCCCACTTACAATCAATCAGTTCATATTGATCATCAATACAGCAGTCTATCAGATCACATCAAC